GCCAGGCTCCATCACACATAATGGTTACTGTGGAAGACACCATCACTCCAAATGTTCTCTCCTTTCTCCTTCTTCCTCCAGCTTTATATGCTGAGCATGATGCCATATGGCATGGGGTAATCCTTGGATTTGCTGGGGTCACTTGTCCTCGCTCTGTCTCCCCTCAGTCTTGTGCATCCCCCAGTCCACTCACTGGTGGCGTGATGTGAGAGGCAGAAAGGCCTAGATGGGTGCCCCCAGCATGTCCTGGTGCATGATGTTCTTTTTGTCCACACCTGCAGGACTTTGCACTTCTTGCTGAACTTTATGAGGTACCTGTCAGCCCATTTCTCCAACCTGTCAAGGTCCCCCTGGACAGTAGCATCACCCTCTGCTCTGTCTGCCACTCCTGTGAGTCTGGTGCTGTCTGCAAACTTTCTGAAAGTAAACTCTGGCCCATCATCCAGATCATTAATGGAATGCTGTGCCATATTGGTCCCTGGGGTACATTGTTAGTTACAGGCATCCAACTACATTGTGCCACTCACTGATCACCACACTCTGGACATAAAGATTTGGCCACTGTTTTCAATCCACCTCACACATCAACACTTCTCTGCAAGGATCTCATGGGAGACAGTGTCAAAGGCCTCACTGAAGTCCAGGCAGAAAATACCCACTGACTTCCTCTCTTCTACCAGGCCAGTCACTTCACCATGGGAGTCTACCAAATTCCCAAACACGACTTCCCCTTGTTTGAGCCACACTGACCAACTGCTGGCAATTTCACTGTCTTCGATGTGCCTGAAGATGGCTTCCAGGATTAGCTCATCCATCACCTTCCCAGGGACTGAGGTGAAGCTGAAAAGCCTGTAGTTCCCCCAGTAATCTTGGAAGATTGGGGGTGATGTTGCTTTATTCCCATCCTTGGGCACTTCCCCTCATTGCCGTGACTGATCAAAGCTGATGGAGATTGCAATGGATCTGCCATCTCTCCCAGCACCTGTGGGTATATCCCACCAGGGCCAATGGATTTATGTACATGCAGGATCCTTAAGTATTCCCAGACTTGGCCCTCATCCATCTAGGGTATATCTTCCTTGCTGATTTGGTTTTTGTAACTCCTGTTTGCTGCCATTCTTCCCTTATTACCTTTTAGGTGGCTGCAATTTGATTAACAATTCATTATATAGACTGTTGAGAGCTGAGGTGAGGCTGCCTGGGCAGCAGATTCACAGGTCCTTCTCTCCACTCTGCTTTGAGAAGTCTCTTTCACCTTGTCTCATTTCTGTCAGTGTTGCTGCTTTCCATTAGGTCTTGCAAATAATTATCAAAGGTCTTTGAGTCAAAAGTCACCGTGGGGTCAATTTTGTCTTCTGTTCTTCAAGCCTCTGGTCACACCTCCCCCTTTTAGTATTGTAATTATCAGAAGGAAAGATGCTGGATCCCCTGACCACCCAAATAACAGGGCAATGCTAATTTTTGCCTTCTTCATCCTTGGCACAGCTGTCAGAGCTTCCTCTTGCCAGCTGAGCTGTCTCGGAGAGCACCTTTCAGGCTCCCATCTGCAACCGTCCCACCAACAGGCAGAACTTCAGCCACTACATTTTTCTTCTTTCCCAATCCCTCAGGAAGACAAACAGAAAAGGCCACAGGGAAAACAAAACAACAGGGCAAACGAAAAGGAAAGCGAAGGAAGGGCCGTTTATCAGATTAAAGAAGCAGTCAGGTCCCAAGGCCGGTGATTAAACAGCCCAGCCCACGCAGCCCCCAGAAGGAGCGAGGAGCACAAAGGAGGGAACGCCCGCCCCCGCCGCCGCGGGAACCAGCCGCGGCTCGGCGGTGCAGCCTCGCAGCGCGTCTCTGTGGCGCAATCGGTTAGCGCGTTCGGCTGTTAACCGAAAGGTTGGTGGTTCGAGCCCACCCAGGGACGGGGCGCGGCTTTTTTTGTGCTGCGCCATCTGTTTTTTCCGTCCCTCCTGCCAGAGGCGGCGGCTCTAACCGGGCCGCGCCGCCATTGTAGCGGTGGGAACTACCCGAGACCCGCTTTTGCCTCCCCGACCTCGCTCCTCCTGCCCCGGCAAGGGGAGTGTGACCCGTGGCGTGTGCTCACAGCGGGGCTCCGGGCGCTCCGTCCGATTGCTCAAGGGGGACCGCAGGAACAGCGGAGTACAACGGGAGTTTCCGTAGTGTAGTGGTTATCACGTTCGCCTAACACGCGAAAGGTCCCCGGTTCGAAACCGGGCGGAAACACCATGTTTTTTCCTTCCCTTCCCGTGTCACGGCGGACGTGCTTCCTGGCTCCTTCCTTAGAACGCGGCTGTGGCGGCGTGGGGCACATCCCCCGCCCGGGGGTGGGAGGGCGTGAGCGGCCTCCTGGGCTGCAGCGGGGCCGGGAGGAAGAAACAGGGACGGGGCTGGAGGGCTGAAGCTCGGTTTCATTCCCATGCACGAACCCCGCGGCAAACGCGTGTTTCCCTGGAAAAGGTCGTCCAGAGGAGGGGAAACGAGCCTCAGCTGAAGCGGTCTGGACATCATCAGAAAACCTGGTACAAAAACTACAACCACATGCCGTGGGCATTACAGAAGCCGCTTTGGATACTAACTTATTTGAAAAGAGTAATACAGACCCAGGTCGGGGGAGAAGCATCTCCTGAGGGTTTCTTCAGCCTCTTCCTCGAAAACATACGCAGGAGACACCCGCTCCCTATTTCCTTAAACTCCTTTCCCAGCATTTCCTCTCTTTTGCAAGGTGCCCTGTGGCTCCACCGTGTTCTCCTGGGCTGTGCAGCTTCAGCATCTCCCTCGCAAACAACCACACCGTGTTTGTGCACAGCAGTGTAAATCTAAAAATGCCTTAAAGTCCATCAGCCGTGTTATCCCACTAACCTTCTCTTCTCTCTTGCTCTCTCTGAGTGCCGTCTTAGATCCGTACTTAGACTGGACTTCAAAGCACAGCATACACTTCTGAGCACAAGCTGCTCGAAAGGTAATGTGCTTTGCTCTGAGCACCAAGGGGCTCACATCAAGAGCAGCTGTTTAGCTTTGCAAAATGAGCAAAGACACAATGGCCCTCGCTGATACATTGTCAGGAAGGGAATAAATCGTTTAAAGCAAAAAACAGTGATGGAAGAATAAATGGCAATAGCCAGCCATGAAAAACATCAAGATCAAAATCAGATTTGTAATCGGCACCACAACTGATTTCTTGAACAGTGCTCTAGCAGGTATCCAGTTAGAAATCCATCAGGCAACTCCTTTGCAGATTATTTTATTGTAGGCAGGATGCGAGAAGGTAGCCCTGTTTTTCACCCTTTACTGTGTTACAAGAAGTGTTTCTATCATCAAGTAGTAAGATCTGAATCACAGCAGGCATCTCTGCAGAGCCGATTCCAAACTCTGAGTGCCACAAGTATGCCTTTCCCAAATCAGAAGACACAGACTAACAAGACTCTGCAGAGGGATCTGGACAGGCTGGATTGAAGGGCTGGGGCCAGTTTTGTGAGGTTCAACAAAGCCGGGTGCCAGGTCCTGCCCTTGTGTCACAGGAGCTTGCAGTGCTATAGATGGAGGGCAGTGCCTGGGAGGCTCTTCAGAGGAAAAGGACCTGGGGGTGCTGGTCAATGGGAGCTGAACACGAGCCAGCTGTGCCCAGGTGGCCAAGAAGGCCAATGTCATCCTGGGCTGGATCAGGAGTGGTGTGGCCAGCAGGAGCAGGGCAGGGATTGTCCCACTGTACTTGGCACTGCTGAGGCCACACCTCCAGTTCTGTGTCCAGTTCTGGACTACAAGGACATTGAGGGGCTGCAGTGTCCAGAGAAGGGCAGCAGAGCTGGGGAAGGGTCTGGAGTGCAGGGCCTGGGAGGAGCAGCTGAGGGTGTTTAGCCTGGAGAAAAGGAGCCTCATGGGGGACCTTACTGCTCTCCACAGCCACTTGTAAAGAGAGTGTAGCCAGGTAGGGGGCAGGCCTTTTCTCCTAGGTAACAGGAGACAGGATGAGAGGAAATGGTAAATTGAGCCATGGGAGATTAGATTGGATATTAGGAAAAAAAATCTCCTCTCTGAAAGGATGGTTAGGAATTGGAAGAGATTGCTCAGGGAAGTGGTGGAGAAACCATCCCTGGAAGTGTTCAAAAAATGTAGATGTGGCATTTGGGGACATGGTTTAGTGGTGAAGATGGCAGTGCTCAAAGTCATTAGACTTTGGGAAATTTACCCTAGAAGACTGATAAAACCTCCACAATACAGTGGCCAGCTTCTGATCACTACCTGTACTTGCTATCTGCCCACCTTGTGTATTTCCAGTTGAAAGAAAACTACTACAACACTTTGCATTGTTGTCATGGCAAATTAAGAGCTGCATTTAAAAACTATTCTTAATATAAAACATCCAGTAACATTGCAAATTCCAACCAGTTTTTTTGGTCATGGGGTTTTCATTCAACCTCAGCTGAATTCTCACTTACACAGGATTGGAGGCAGTAAAACATTTATGGAAACAAATCTGCACTGCATCATCTTTAGTCTTCTGTTTCAGAAAAAAAAGGCAGCCAGGAACATGCTGCACGAACAGATTTATTTTCACACCTACTTTAATCTCAAGTGTTATTTGTTTGTTCTTGGAGCTTCTATATATACCTGTACCCACACTGAATCCCACGCAGCTGCAGACCAAACACTCCTAACTTCAGTTTGTGGAGGGGGTGCCAGTGGTGACCAGAGCTCCTTGCTTCTGTCTAGGTGTATCTGCACAGCAGGAATGCCCCCACACCCTCCCTCCTCTGCTGTAAACCTCATTATAAACCTCTCCTCCAGGACCTCCTCATCTTCTAGCAGGGTTTCTTCCTCCTGTTGCTCTGGGCATTCTGCACCACCAACCCTGGGCTCGCTGCTTTACTCACCCCTGGGTCTGTGTTGTGTCCCAAGCCAGTGGTGAAGGTGCTCCCGTGTCACAGCCGCAGGTTATTGCAGCCCATTCTTAGATAAATCAAACTCTCATTTTGATCAGCTTTTTTAAATTTTTTTTTTTAATTAGGGAATTCACAAATGGGTAAACATTTCACAAGCAGTACACTAGCCCTTAACATTCAGAATTGATTTGTTTTCTATTGTAACATTACCAATTACAGTATTTAAAACAAGGAAGCTTAAGTTCTTCACAATAACTTAAATTTCAAAAATTAAAACATTCACTGCCTGAAGTACCAGTTTGATAACAATGTACCAAACTGCAGCAGAAATAAGTTATTACAGCGAGTTCAGGGCCACTGTTAGTTTTTCAAACACTTTTTAAACCTACTTCAAACAATCCAAAAACATTAGAATCTGTAGCCATGCCATGTAATAGTATTATGTTCAACTGCACCTGCTGGAAAAGTAAGACTGAATATTTAATGTTTTGAACTTGGGTTCTAAAACAACGAAAAAAATGCAGAACACCTCTAAAAATGCCTGATATAAAGATCTGCTGATAAAATCCTTCTTATTTTCAAGAACAAGAAAAATGTACATCTAATCTATCTATCTAATACCCTCAGCTTTGTGTCTATGCATTTAAAAACGACTCCAGATCAGCAACATGAAAGCTATACAAATCCAGAAACACCAAGGTGTGAATCCTCTGCTTACTCACTGCTGCCTTGCCACATTTTTCCATTACTTTCTTCCTACTGACCTTGCCTCTCCTTGGCACCTCACATACGGTCGGGGGTGCAGTGCCTGAGTCATGAAAAACTCCAAGTGACAACAGTAATAGGCATTAACTTACACTCAAATTAATTCTGAGAAACCTTTCTTTTATTACATGTTTTTTGCAGCTATGAAAAACTAATGGGTACATCTGATAATCTTAGTGATGCAAACTCTGGACCAAATCTTACTAATTCTACTTAAAAAAATAACCCGGCTCAGAAGATATTCTACCAAGTTATATTCACAGTTACCCAGGATGAAAGCTCAGTAGGTGCTGTAACTTTAAATAGGGAAATTTTTACCATGTATCCATCTTTTCTTGGATCCAAGGGGTGTATACATCAGCATGAGCTTATAGAACTGTAATACTGTAAGGAGTTGAAGGCCAGCCTAGCAGAATGCCAGCCTCAAGTTTATGTTACAAATGATCTTCATATCAGAGGATGCAAAATTCCTTAATTACAGAAGGTACTTTAAATTTCTTTTTTAAATGTTGGACAAAGTAACTTCAGGAGTTGAGTGGTCCTGTAAAAATCACTACTACAGAAGTAGTATTTCTTACACCATTACATCATCAAGACTACAGAACTTCATTATTTTTCCAACTCACTGGAGTATATAAGTTTTTTATGTTAAAAGCAGCAAAAATTAAGACTTACAGGAGCTTTTAATTAAAAATCACCATCATATCTGACAGCTAAGATAACTGCTTCTTAGAAAAATAAAATTCATCAAACCCTGATTTGCTTGTTACAATAAATATTAAGAAAAAATACCTCAAATGTAAATCGTTCAAGTACAGCCAGTGTGCAATTATAGTTATAAAATATAATTTAGTAGTGCTTTGTTTCAAAACATACATAATACTGAAAAAATACTTAAACCCAAGAAACTCGGTATTTACCAAGTTTCAAACAGAGTTTCATCAAAATGAGGTAAATCTATGTCACCTGCCATGGAGCTTGGTGCTGAAATTGAGAACAGGTCTTCGAGAATATCTTCTCTCATAGGACTTTCAAAAGAAAGTTTTTTCACACAGTGTTTGTTTATTGCCTCAAGCTCCGAATTAGTGTCCTTTACAGGACTGTAGTAATTGTGGTCCTCACTTGTCACTGCTGCCTGTGGCACACTGGTGTCCTCATGGGACGTGGTGGTTGCCACGCTGCTGTGCACCATTTCCATGTACATACACTCGTCTTCGCTCTTTGGAGCCTCCAAGGAAGCGGCAGTCAAAGAAGGGGACAGTAATTCTGCCAGTATTTCATCGGTGTTATCATGGCCAGGGCACCCTGGCACAGTGTTTGCATTAAATTCAGATCCATTCCCTGTGACATCAATCTGACACGGAAGCTCCCTTAAAAAGCTCTGCAATAATTCACTCTCATTTTGAGGTTCAGTCTGCGATGGGGCGCTTACGTCTCCACTCACAGGTTTTTCCCGTTTCATCTGTTCCACTGCTAATTTATCCAGTGAAGCCAACTTCTTCTTTTTAGCATTAAGTTTTTTTAATAATTTTAGGCGAAGTTTTTTTGTTTTGTCACTGTCTGACTCTTCTGCCTTACCAGAATTATAGCCAGGTGAAGGGAACTGAGTCACTTTACCTGAGGTACCCAATGTACTTTCTGACTTATTCCGAGTTGGACCTACAACAGTGGTATGATTTGCTGTTGGAAGACAAGTGTTTTGAGAAAATCCTTTGAAATTTGATAAAGGATGAGTATTATTACTCTGAGGAGCCAGTAACTTTGGGGTCTCCGTTGTTTTCTTTGTATCTCTGCTTTGAAATCCACCAAAGTTACTTGCGCCCTTAACTGGCAGCCGAACTTTACTTATTTTTTGCACTGAGGGAGTTTTGCAACTTCTCTCATTCTTGAGAGCTGAGGCACTTGAAGGCATGAAAGAAGTATTCTTGATTAATAATTTCTTTACCCAGCTTCCTACAAATCCTCCTCTTTGGTCTTTGTGTGAGGGCTGGACTGAATTACTGGCACCAGAAGAACTGCCAACTTGAGAATTAACTACCGTTTTGCTTGCACCTTTCAAGTCAGGTGATTTTTGTATAGTATTTTCCATTGCTAACAACTTCTTGTTTAGCATTAGTTCTGAACTTAATCCATGTTCTCTGTTAGCTAAATTAGAACTGTCATTTAATTGAGAAGGTGAGAAGTCTGATGAATCAGGGTCGTGTTTTATAGGCACAGGAGGAGTAATATTTACTGGGTTCAACTCACCTAGAGGTAAACAAATACTGGAATTTTCACATAACATGGATTTATTGCTCATAGTTAGACTAGTTCCAGCAAACTCTCCTTTATATGGAGTGCTAAGTGAAAAAGCTGGTTCCTGCTGTTGTGGTGTGCCCCATCCATCAAGAAGGTTATTTCCCACCATCCATCCGTTAGGCAGTGATTTATCTTCAGAAGCAGCTAGATCTTCTTCAAGCACCAGTTTTACAAGATCACCATCTGCCAGATTTTCTAAACCATGATGAACAATACTTTTGTCCTCAGCTACTTGCTGCTGCTTCTTCTCTGGAGTCCTCACAGAATCCTCTTTGTGGTGTTCTGCAGGTGCTTTGCCGACAGTGTTATCAAAACCACAATGCAACACTCTGGAATTTGAATGTACATTATTAAGAGGAAAATCTTCACTATTTTTACTTTGGAACTGTGAATTCACTTCTGGCACAGGGGATGCTTTCTTTTCCCAGATAACAATATGAATCTCTGAAGGAGGAACTTCAAATCTTTGACGTCTCTTGCAATATGGACCCTTTAAATCATCACATTCAAGCCAAGTGCCTGAAAAATAGCAACCAGTGCAGAGACTCAGACTTTTAAAATTGAAGTCACTATCCTCACACTTGTCAAGTATTTTTATTAACCCATTCCCCTGACAAGTAGAAAATAGAGGGTTTTTTTTTCTCCAGAGAAAACTGGGAGACTTTCACTGTAAAAAGATCAAATACAAGAAGAACTTGCAGCAATATTATAACAGGTCAGAGCAGGTCAACCATAAAACAAAGCTAGCTCAGGGTTTTTTTTTTGGCTGAAACATCTTGTCTGAAAATATCCTCACAAGTCTGAGGTAAGAACCACCTCTCAAATTAAGTTTCTCTGTAGACCTTTCCATTGCCTGGGCAGGAAGCACAGGGGCTAAAAAGAAATTGCTCATTTTAATACTCTTGTCTCTTCATCTGCAAACTGTTTTTAGATCATGAAATAATATTTAACAGCTTCAAGAATTTTAAAACAGATATATACGACATATAGGAGGTTCTTAACTAGGCATTTCCCAGCTGCTTCCTCTTCCCATTTCTTTTTTATCTCTGCCAGTAAGACTTAGACAATTTTCATACTGTCACAACATTTCATACGACTGCAGCCCACGCTCTCTACAGAGGCATGATTATCAAAACATCACCTTTTCACCTTTTCTGATTATGGATCTTCCACCAGTGGTACAACCATCTTACCATTAGTAATGTTTCTAACATGGATTTGTGCCGCCCACCCCTGAGGTGCCATAAAGTTCAGATATAAAAAATAACTTAATTCATTGCTCATAGTACAATAGGTTACCTTGCTTTCAGCCAAGAATGGATGAATCACTGGTTTAAAAATAAACAATACTACTTGCTCCACAGTCATGGTCAGACTGCATTTTTTAACTTTTATGAAGTTACGAAGGGAAAAAAAGCTCTATAGCCAAATTACCTTTTTCCAGTAAATGCACTGTAAGACAACACAGTGCAGTTAAACCAACCAAAAACCTTCACTCTGAGAAACAAGTCCCCCCAGTTATTTGCAACATTTAAATATGAAGTTTAGAACGCAGACAAAAGAAATCTTTGTTATTATATATCAATGGTTGAGACTACTGCAGTAACCCATAAAACATTTCATGTAGACTCATGAAATATTATAGTAGGTAAGAACCATAAACTCTATCTTATCTCTTTCTTTTATGAGGAAAGGCTGAGGGAGCTGGGCCTGTTCAGCCGTGAGGAGATGACTGAGGGGGGATCTCATCAGTGTCTGTGAGTATCTGGAGGGAGGTGTCAGAGGACAGACCCAGGCTCTGCTCAGCAGTGCTGAGCAATAGGGCAGAAGGCAACAGGCAGGAAGTGAGGCACAGGAACCTTCACCTGAACATGAGGAAGAACTTCTTTACTGGGCAGTGACCACACACTGGAACAGAACGCCCAGAGAGGTTGTGGAGTCTCCCTCACTGGAGACATTCAAGAACTGTCTGGACACAATCCTGTGCCATTTGTCTGGGATGGCCCTGCTTGAGTAGGGGGGTTGGATCAGATGTCCCACTGTGGTCACTTCCAACCTGGCTGATTCTGTGATTCTGTAATATCTGGTACCAATGAAAATTCTCTGCAACTTCTGTTCTCTTAAAGGATAGCAAAATTATGTCTGTGGAAACAATCATGGAGATTAGCTCAGCTGCTGGAGAAAGAAAGTATGGCCACTGTAATATTAGAGGCTTTGCTAAGGTGCTGCATCAAGGTTAATTTAATGCTGATCTCTGCAGCGTATGGATACCATTCCTTAGTACACTGCATTTGCAACAGAAGGAACAATGATTTAATGTAGAAAAGAAACATACAGCACTTGGTAAAAACTTCCTTCCTCTCTCACAGGTAAGAAGGCAGGCAGGTGTTTCTGGGCTACCCAGAAAACAGGAGTGGCTGCTGCTGCTGCTTTCCAGGGGCATAAACTTGTGTATTTTGTAGTTCTGTGTGTGCTCTGATAAGATTTCTTACACAAATCTTGCTTCAAGAAGCAAACAGAGGGGTGGATATACTTCTCCATCTTAAACTCTCTTGTTAACTTCACGTTAAGTGGTTAAGCTTAAGCAGATTTTGAGCTATATGTCCTGTGTAAATTGGCATTTAGACAATTAACAGCAGTTACACTATTGAAACCTGGGGGAATTCTGTGCCTAAATCAGACGAAATGCCAAGATCTGTTAAGACTCATAAAGGAGAGTTCCTTCCCCCTTTATTTCTGCTGCAGTACTGGGGTTCTTCCCAGATACCCTGTCTTGGTAGTAGCTTTGAGTTTCAAGTTTATTTTCAGAGCACAATAAAAGGTTTGTTACTCAGGGGGCTGATGGTAATATATAGTTCATGATAATAAGCTGTTAACAGTCCTCATAAAATAGGATAATAAAGGCATATTTGTCCTTCTGTGCCACATGTACATACCTGTGAAGAGATTTAAAATGTGAGAACTAATTTGCTTACCAATTTATTGCACTAGACTGTATAATTACAAAACCCTTGCTACGCTCTGGGTTTTTCCAACAGTTTATTATTGACTTTTGCTGGGATTTTTTTTTTTTTTTTCAGTTGATAATGGTTTGGTTTGGTGTTTTTAAATTACTCTGGAAAAAGAATGACCAGTGAGATAGAAAACAATGAAAGTTCTCTGCAACTTCTGTTCTCTTAAAGGATAGCAAAATTATGTCTGTGGAAACAATCATGGAGATTTGCTCAGCTGCTGGAGAAAGAAAGTATGGCCACTGTAATATTAGAGGCTTTGCTAAGGTGCTGCATCAAGGTTAATTTAATGCTGATCTCTGCAGTGTACGGATACCATTCCTTAGTACACTGCATTTGCAACAGAAGGAACAATGATTTAATGTAGAAGAGAAACATACAGCACTTGGTAAAANAGTCACTATCCTCACACTTGTCAAGTATTTTTATTAACCCATTCCCCTGACAAGTAGAAAATAGAGGGTTTTTTTTTCTCCAGAGAAAACTGGGAGACTTTCACTGTAAAAAGATCAAATACAAGAAGAACTTGCAGCAATATTATAACAGGTCAGAGCAGGTCAACCATAAAACAAAGCTAGCTCAGGGTTTTTTTTTTGGCTGAAACATCTTGTCTGAAAATATCCTCACAAGTCTGAGGTAAGAACCACCTCTCAAATTAAGTTTCTCTGTAGACCTTTCCATTGCCTGGGCAGGAAGCACAGGGGCTAAAAAGAAATTGCTCATTTTAATACTCTTGTCTCTTCATCTGCAAACTGTTTTTAGATCATGAAATAATATTTAACAGCTTCAAGAATTTTAAAACAGATATATACGACATATAGGAGGTTCTTAACTAGGCATTTCCCAGCTGCTTCCTCTTCCCATTTCTTTTTTATCTCTGCCAGTAAGACTTAGACAATTTTCATACTGTCACAACATTTCATAAGACTGCAGCCCACGCTCTCTACAGAGGCATGATTATCAAAACATCACCTTTTCACCTTTTCTGATTATGGATCTTCCACCAGTGGTACAACCATCTTACCATTAGTAATGTTTCTAACATGGATTTGTGCCGCCCACCCCTGAGGTGCCATAAAGTTCAGATATAAAAAATAACTTAATTCATTGCTCATAGTACAATAGGTTACCTTGCTTTCAGCCAAGAATGGATGAATCACTGGTTTAAAAATAAACAATACTACTTGCTCCACAGTCATGGTCAGACTGCATTTTTTAACTTTTATGAAGTTACGAAGGGAAAAAAAGCTCTATAGCCAAATTACCTTTTTCCAGTAAATGCACTGTAAGACAACACAGTGCAGTTAAACCAACCAAAAACCTTCACTCTGAGAAACAAGTCCCCCCAGTTATTTGCAACATTTAAATATGAAGTTTAGAACGCAGACAAAAGAAATCTTTGTTATTATATATCAATGGTTGAGACTACTGCAGTAACCCATAAAACATTTCATGTAGACTCATGAAATATTATAGTAGGTAAGAACCATAAACTCTATCTTATCTCTTTCTTTTATGAGGAAAGGCTGAGGGAGCTGGGCCTGTTCAGCTGTGAGGAGATGACTGAGGGGGGATCTCATCAGTGTCTGTGAGTATCTGGAGGGAGGTGTCAGAGGACAGACCCAGGCTCTGCTCAGCAGTGCTGAGCAATAGGGCAGAAGGCAACAGGCAGGAAATGAGGCACAGGAACCTTCACCTGAACATGAGGAAGAACTTCTTTACTGGGAAGTGACCACACACTGGAACAGAATGCCCAGAGAGGTTGTGGAGTCTCCCTCACTGGAGACATTCAAGAACTGCCTGGACACAATCCTGTGCCATTTGTCTGGGATGGCCCTGCTTGGGCAGAGAAGTTGGATGACCCCCTGTGGTACCTTCCAACCTGACCCACTCATAATTCTTACCATCAGGATTCAAAGACCAGCTTATGAAGTGCTTCTTATCTGTTTGGTACTGAACAACAGATGTTATTTGGTAGGTGTCTTCCTCCAATTGGAATGAATATTTCTCCAAGTTATTATGTGGCAAGCCTTCCATAAAATGTAATGTTAATATTGAGGGTAGTCTGACAAAGAAACAATAAAGAACCAGTTTACTACAATAAAGCAGTGGCAAAAGTTCCTAATGAAAAAGTAGAACATCTCTAAGAGTACATGGTTCTGCCCTTACTATTCTACTTCCTCACAGTCTCTTCAGACTGCACAGTAAGCACAAAGGGAAAAGAATATCCCAACTGGATATTCAATTTAATTATAGATTAGGGGAAGAAAACCAGCACCAAATAACAAATTTGGGGAGTGGGGAAAAGTTGAAAACAAACACCCGTGTGCCATAAACACATTAGTCAGGGACATTGTTACCAAGACATAAAAGTAAACAAATGACCAAACAACTTTTGTCCACAGCATAGACTGTGAAAAGGCTGACACTAGCTATCAGTTGTCTGTATTTACTACTTGATAGTTAAGAATTTATGACCTAGCTCAAACACATGTGCTGGTCAGCATGTTAAATACTGCTCTGTTTCATGTTTAGTAAACACTATTTTCTATTTCAGCTTTTAAGAATGATCTAATGTGGAGGCCCAGGGGCCTGCAATCTCAAATCTTTACAAGTGAGTACTGATCAGAGTTTAGGGTACAGAATCTCTGCAAACCCACAGTAACAGTCTGGTTTCAAAAGTCATATATTCAATAAATGAAGTCTCAGATCTTTATGTACATTACTTTCAAGTTCACATATTCAAACTTACTTTTCCAAGACCATCTGTCGTCTTTGAGATGTATTACCACAGTTATTACATGGTCCAATATGAACAGCATTAAGTGGATGCCAGTCAGGGATTACATTTGTAAATGTTGTTAGTGTTTTCTTCAATCTGGACACACACACATTAAAAGAGTAAGCTGAGTTGGTGATCAGAAAACAATAAATATACATACTTCACCAGGAAACAAGTTATAAAAACATTATGGCAAACCCAAATTCTATTCATGTTCATGAGATCTGTGTGGAGTTCACTGTGACAGCATCACATCCAAGTCAGCCCTGAATTCAGTTCTGCCAAGCAGCATCAGTCACAATTTTTTTTCAGCAGCTCTGTGGCCCTCAGTTTTACATTATTTGCTTTTTCTTCCTTTTAATGTTATCTCTGTTTCCATTCCAACATAAGACAGAACTTGTACCAGCATCTGCATAATTTACTAGCAAATACAGAATCTCAAGAAGAGAAGAAAGCAGCAACAAATTACCTGAGAATCCATGTCTTAACATTAAAAACAAGGTCTTATTTTTAAAAACTAGTACATTCATAGCAGAGATTACACTGTATGTATGAAAATACAATGTATGGCATATTAAAGTGAAGCAACAGTTTATTCACTCACTAGCCACAGAAAGGACTTCCTCTGTATTCAATGAAAACTACAGTTTTCAACTTTATAAAAGCCCAGAATGTAACAAAGGATCTTGAAGACATCCTATTAACCAGGTCTACATATTAATTTTCCAGAATAACAGATCAAATTAATCTCATTTCACTTGGGGATCTAGAATTTTATTATACAAACCTAAGGTAGTGGAGAAAAACAGATGTTTTTCAAATAAAATGAGCTGTCTTCCAAAGGTGTCTCTCTTTTCCTGCTGATTCTAAAAGGAGCCTATATTATGAGCTTGTACCTGCCGCTACACAGAGCTAAATCAATTCTCAAGAAGTTCCTCCCCTGTAATACTATTTTAAAATACATAAACTGTGTTATAGAATCCCTGATTCTTTGTAACCCAAGTGAATATTCCAAGTATTTCTCAATAGCAGAAGTGTACTAGGCATATATTCTTTAGAATCACAACGATTTGTATACTCTCAGCAAAATATCAGAGTGAGCAGGTCCAGAGACTCCCATGGTTACATATTGTTTCTTTCTTAATTAATTGATGACATGGTTGCTTAAGACATGGAATAGCAGCAAACTATTTGCAAATGAAAATGCAGATCATGTGAAACTTCAACAACAAGCTTAAACCTGGATATCTGAAGAAAACTGACTATTATATACAGATTTTAAAAGGTAAGGTAGAACAGCTATATAAAAATCTTACTGGTCCTGATGTTTGTGGCCACAACGTACACATTCAGACTTCCATGAAAATGAATGCAAGAACAGTTTCTCAGCTTGTTGATCTACTTGTAAGAGTAACTGAAGTGCAGACACTGGATTCTCCATATTGCCTTCAATGATGGGACAGGAAAAAAAAGATACTAAATGTCTAAAATCACCTTTCAGTACCTCAAAAAGGATGAAGACAATTTTATTACTATGAGTTAAATTTCAGTTATTTGTTCAAGACTTTATTTGTAATTCTTACAGCAAAGGGATTGATTGATGTTGTTAGGTTGTTATCAGCAACAATTTAATGTCTAACAGCATCATAACAAAGATTATCTACTCTCTAAAAAGTCAAAATGGGCAAAGGACAAACCAGCTGATCATACTGTAAAGCATGTAAACCAGTAGAAACAAATGTATTTCCAAACTTTCTTGTATGCATACATTCACACATACTTTTATGTATGACATAAAAAGCTATACATCCAGGGTTCCCTGAAAGTAATTACTGAGATGCTACACTAATTACTTACCCAATTCACACCTCAGCTGAGGCTGAATTTCTGTAAACATGATGTTTCTGATTTCATTGAGCTGAGATTCTGCTTTAGGAAGAACATCTGAAGAAAAAAATACAATATGTCTTCATGCAGTCTACATGCAGTGTAACAGGCCCCATACCTTTTCACACACACAGGTAGCCCTAGCATGCACTCCTCCTCTGCAAACCAATGCCCTACATATTGACCCATACATGCCTAAGACTTGCTGGTAGAACAGCCAATTCTTGGTATTAACAGATTTGAAAATTAGAGAAGAATTTACAGAAGTTACTCACCTGTAGTCTGCTGACTAAAACCTATTTGCTCTGACTTAAATTATGACTAAGAGCCTGGGCCAACAGCTTTGTAGTAACAATTTTTAAGGATAGTGTGACAATATGAATTACAATTACACACATTACAAATCCTGAAGATTCAGGGATTAAAAGAAAACTTTGAAACTTAAGCATTAAGACCAAAAGCACAAAAAATTTGTCTATATGCTTTCTAATATTATACAATTCAAATAATAGAACATTTAAATGTATTGTTTCAGATTAAATACCAATTTCCTAAGTAAGCCTTTAAAATAGTATAAATAATTTTAAAATAACTTTTTACTTTATATGTGTTAGTATTTTAATTTTGTATAATTGTAATTTTGTTTAAACACAAATACATTCTTTAAGCACAAGAACATAACTTCTACTACACAATCATGATCATAACCTGCAGAAATGAAAGGAAATATTTAGATTAGCTGTTGATACTGCTTATTACATATTAGCTGTGTATAGAAAAAAAGAAACAAAGTTTCTTACAGCTATATTGCTCTAGATTGTTTCTGAAAACAGCTGTATGCAAAAGATATTGTAAAATTACACAGAGGAGCAGAATGAATTCTACACCTATTCTCCACAGAAGTACTCTTCATCCAATCTTCTCTCCACTGTTACCCAAATAAACTAAGTTGTTTTGCAGCAATTGAAATTAAAAGGCCCAAGTTCTTTCAAACAACACTTTATTCCAACACTTAACATTCCCATTTAAGGGTTACTGCACACCAGAGCTCCTTTGCAAACACAGCCCAACAAAGAAAAACATCTCAGACAGGTTCTAGGATGGCAGAGGGCTTCCCAGTAACAGCTGAACACCTAAACTCAAGCAGCCTGCCTTCCTGGCAAGCACAGGACATGAACGGGTTCAGAATATTTTGGGGTTTTCTCCCTGCTTTGTAACATGGATGAAACCACTTTTTGATACACATTATTTTTCCTAGGAAAGAACCTTATTCAAGTTACCTAGGGCTGTTCTGTGACTATGGTTTTATATAATCAAACACACATAGCCCAACAGAATGTCCAGGAGAGGTACTGGCTAACTGGAGAGCTTCACTCCTTCTGTAACACATCATATCTTAGAATTTTAGACTTATGATATCTATGGTCAAGTTCAAGAGAAATAAAAACCTCATGGTCTTAGTTTAGGAGTCTTAAACACAATCTCCACAAAACAGAAAATGACTAAAGGCCACACCAGTTGGACACAGTGACACATCCTCCTCAGAGTATTCCAATGTGTTGAGTGACAAGACAACTGCCCACTTATACAATGATATAAACCACAACAGAAATTGTTTTGAAGATCAAGATTAAAACAGCATCCTAGTATCATGTTAACCAATAGAGGAAAAGGAAACAAAGTAAGGGTGAATTACATAAATAATTCATAATATCTTTATTTTGGATATGACAAAAAAAATTTAAGAGATGCTTGGTGTTTGGTGCCTTCAAAGAGTGCATGTTTGCCCCAACCAAAACAATTTCAGATGTTACCAGGATTTTGCTAGATAAAGCAAACCAATCTGCAAATTCATGGTAACAGTTGTATTTTTTATGATCTTGAAATAGAACATAGGCATATATGTGTGCTGTCTTAAATTCCACATATTTGTAGCAAATCAGTCTATGAGAAAACAGAAGCTAAATTTACTCACCTTTTACTTTACTCCTTTTACAGGTATTCAGAAGAATAGATGCTTGATTATACTTTGTTAAGAGTTTCTGGAGTAAACATTTTCCATCTTTATATTCTTCTGCTACAGCAGATTTTAATGTTTCTAAGTGTACCAGAGCTGACAAAATACAATCTAACCAACAAAGATTACGTATGTTTCTCCACTGAAGATGTAAGTCTCTGTTATTAGTGGAACCTTTATCCTCTTTGAGTGAAATTTCAGATGCTGTTGATAAAAGCTCAGAATTTGGCAACAGTTGTGTTTTGGGACTATAAGTCTTTGGTGGACTTTCTTGGTAGTTGTCGGTCTTGGTGTTTTTTTCAAAATCCACCTTCGGCATGCAGGACCCCACATGCTTGCCAGCGTTTTGCTGGTCATTTTGTAATAATACATCATGCAGGCTTGGCTTGGGAATACACAAATTATTCTGATAGCCTTTCACAACGGAGTCTGCATTAATGGTGTGTCCAACATCGAGTACATTGTTAGTTCTTGCTTTTTTTGGATCTGATTCAACAGCAGAAAAGTCACTGGTATCACCCAATTTCCTTTTCTTGTGAGTAGTTGGAACTTGATGATTTTTTGAACCAGTAGAAGTAATTATGCTGTTTAATGGTTTATAACCAAGTGGGTAGATACACTAAAGGAAAGAAAGAAGGTTACAGTGAAATCTGAAAAGCAATTTCAGGTGAACAAGAGTTAAAGAAAGTACAAAACATACTTTTAAAATGGAATTGAATCACAGAATCATAAAATGGCTTGGTTTGGAAAGGACGTTATAGACCATCCAGTTCCAAACCCCCTGCCATGGGCAGGGACACCTTCTACTGGACCAAGTTGCTTAGACCCACATCCAACCCAGTCATAGAGACTGCTGTAAAGTGATATTTTAATTAAATCAATGCATATATTCAACATAGGTATGACAGGAAGGGTATGTTATCCCACCACTGTCTTATAAGCAACTGTGAAATAAATACGTCAGTACTGATACTTCATAACTACTTTTCCAGTAAATGCTTCCAACCTCCACAACCAACCTAGTTTTGACAAGGGGAGTCCTCTTGTCTTATTCTGCTAAATCCATTCCTTTAAGATACAGATTTGACATTATTATCTCATGTCTGAGAGACTATTGATGCCCAAACTGGCAGGGTATCTTTCAGGCAAGCTCAATGACCAAGTGGCAACTAGAATATAGACAAATCCCTATTATCAACCTTCAGAACTATACTGCAATTAATTAAAAGCAGGAAAGAATGGAAAAAACAACTCTGAGATCCATATCTCATTTAGTTTCTACTAATTTATGGGCACCAATCTGTTTGGGATTCCTATACTCTCCCCACATACATGGAGCAGTGAAGGAAGAGGTAGCAAAATCACAATTCAAATATTAAGCAGCACAGATAAGGTTAAAATTAAAAAGAGGAAAGAAAAGAAAGAAAAACATTGTAATTACAATTATAAACCTATTTGCATTACCTCAAAGAAAGGAAAACAGGAGACCCAGATCTGCTGGAGGTATGCACTAGTTACATGGATCATCAAATACTCACCTTCTACTCTGACTTGTACAAGAATTTATTTAGTATCACTTGTGATCCCTTGTTACATGAGAAGAACTCTCCTTTATTTAATTTTAATTTACTCCTTTTAATCCTTTAGGGTAGCCACCTGTGCCTGAACACTGAATATACACAGGTTACTTCTGTTTTTCCCTATTTGTAAGCAAATATCCTGCAGCATATAGAAGCAGAGGGGTCCCATTTCAACAGTCTGCTTACCCCCAATAAAATCATGGACTTTAAAACTCTTTATTAGTGTAATACCTGAGGATTTTCACAAAGGAAAATGGACTCTTGAAAATTAAGGCGGTAAGTCCGTAAACCTTGGATCTGACCCTTCTCTTTGCAGACTGGACAACATTCATGTGCAGTTGTTTCCAAAGGATAACAGTTCTAAAATAATAACAAATAAAGAAAGATAAAGCAGCATAAATTAATGTATTTCATGCATTATCCCAAGGTAAGACATACTTAGAAAGATACAAAATCATTGCTCAACTTCTAGATATAATACAATATAAAAAAACTACATTGGTTTCTTTATTATTATTTTTAATATATTTGTATGGTAGAATGATTTAAATAAATTTATATTTTTATTTAAATATTCAAATAAGGTGTCTTTAACAACACAATTACGCACATTTTATTCTACTTAAACTAAACCACAGGACCCTTATTGCCAGGGAACACAAGCTCAGATCTTTGAAAGACAAATCAATTTTCATAGGAATGCAAACAGTTGTAAAAATAGTGCCAGTAAAAAAAACATAGGCACATATTTACTTAGAATAATCTTTCGCCATTGTTATAGATTTCCGTGGAAAATAATTTTGAGATTTTTTTTTTTTTTTGTAAAATTAAGACCAATTAAAAATCTCTCAAAACAGAGAAAAATATGAACTTTGCACATATGTAAAACAAGTTTCAACTGACTTTTCCCAAATACCCCACCATGTGGAGTGTCGATTTCCCTATACCAGTCCCTTCTCCAATCACTTGCAAACCATTTGTAGTCTTCTGGGTATCCATCATTCTGAGCCACTGGCTAATTTATGTCACTTGTAACAATGTCATGACCACTAAGGATTTTTCAAAGACGCCTGAAAAATAAGAAGTGAATAAAACAATTAAAGAAAAATTAGAGTGAAGTTTGTGAAAAAAAAAAAACAACAACAATGCAGCTTGTGTGACTTCTGGAAATTAATTCAGAAGAGTATTTCCTAAACTGAAAATACTTTTTTTGTTGTAGTGTGGACTGTGAATTCAAAACTTTAAATTAAGAACTATAGGGACCCAATCCTGCTCCTGTTGACTTGAGTCTAACTAGAATAAATATATATCTCTTCAAGATGCATGAGGAAGTTGTTGAATTGCAAAGTCATCAATGTAGTATCTTTCCTTCAGCCATAACTGTTCCCTTTTCATTACTTCACTGAAAAACACTATCTCCCACACCATGATGTCCTTTAAACCCTTTTACACAGTACAGCAACAACTTCTTCCAAAAAAAAAAAAAAAAAAAAATTCTCCAGGCATTCTTGAGACTAGTGTAAACACTAGTTCAACCTAAACCTACTTAGAATATTTGGCAAGGAGAGACTCTACAGAACTGCGTGGAATGCTAACAACCAACAGAGCATGAATTAAAAAAGCACAACAGAAAAACACAACCACTCAGATTTCAAGTCAGACCCTCACAGCAACTTAAGAGTGGGTCAAAATGAGATAATATCCTATTGATACTTTCAGTGTGTCCAGCAGCACTTTTCAGAATTATCAGCATGTAGAGACAGTAGTCCCTGACTGATGAAACTAACAGCTGTAACAGAAGGCAAGAACATAAAAGTATCAATCCATGTGCCTTAGAGCACATTTAGCTTTCAAAGTAATGTTCTAGAGTGCACAAGAAACAACACGGTCCAGGGCTCATGCAAGGTGAAAATTAATGAATTAGCTCAAGGTGTACAAGCTTGTTGGAGTATAAAGGAAAGACAAGCATCCTGACTTTCACACAACAGCAACACCACTATCACACTGCAACTAAACTCTGTTATCATGCATTTAGTCTAGCCAGGAAGTTGACTTGTTTTATACAATTTGTACAAGCAGTACAGATAACAACCTTTCACATAGGACATATTATACTAAAATACATTATTTTTCACAGGACTTTAGTCAATTCCTTGGCATGAAGCAGTATCAGCTCTCCAGAATAAATAAAAACCAGATCATATGACAGAAACTCCTGAGAAGTTTCTCACCACAAAAATTCAACACACACTCATAATCGTAACACTAAGGCCCTGCAAGTTATTCCCTTTTAAGCATGCCCCTTGGTTTTGTAAAACGTATTTATTTAGTTGTATTCCATTTCTGTTACTTCTGCTGTTCTTTTTAAAGTTTAAATACTGAGATATGTAAGATGTTCTGAGATGTACAATACCTCTCCCAGCTATAATCACCCAGCCAACAGTACCACAATACTGAAATACTTTTATTTCTATTACAAATACAATAACACTTTTTAAAAATTAATTATCCTTTTAGTTCAAAGACAAATACAAGGAGCAAATAAAATAGGTTTGCCAGTACTAGATATGCAGAGTGGTACCAAGAGGCCTGCCTGTACTCTTCTAAAGTTTCTAACATTACAGGAAGGTATTGGTGATCTCTGCACAATGTACAAACACTGGGCATCAGATCAACACTGCCAAGGAAAACAGCCAAGTAAAAGACTGCTGCATCAAGTACTGCAACAACTCATTGTAGCCACATGCAATAACTGCATTACAGACGGAAAAGTTCACAGGAACGCACATTCAACCTTACTAGGTCATGTTCCAAACAATTAATCCTTCTTTACATCTGAATATTGAAAAATATGATGCAAAATATGGTATGAATGTGACTGAAGTATCATTATGCTGTTGCTACACTTCCTTCAGTAGAGGAGTTGATCTAACAGCTTGCTGCTGCAGAACAGGGGCATCACTTTTCTCTTTTATTTCCTTTCCCCCCACTTTCCCTGACAGCTCATGTCCTCATCAGACTTTTCATTAACTAAATGAACTCACAAAACAGCAGAAAACTTAGTAAAGCATGAGTTTTTCTGCTATTCCAGGGAATTAAATTGGTCTGTGAAAATTCCAATGACCTAGGGAGGGCAGAAGATAGAAAATAAGGAAAAGATGAAGCATTAGAGACATATGGGTTTGAAATAGAACAGCCTAAGGAACTGGCTGGATAGCCACATCCAAACAGCTGCAGCTCAATGTACTAAGCACAAACCAGTGACAAATGGTGTCCCTCAAGGGCCCATACTGAGGCAAATACTGTTTATTGTCTTCATGCAAAGAGACACAGATTGTGGGATCTGGATTCTGCTCCTCCAGTCTGCTCTGGTGAAACTCCACCTGATGTGCTGGGAACTAAGTAATGATGTGGACCTGCTGGAGTGAGTTCAGAGCACCTCTCCTACAAGGAAAGGCTGTGAGAGCTAGGATTGCTCAGCCTGGAGAAAAGCAGGCTCTGGGGAGACCTTACTGCAGCCTTTCAGTACTTAAAAAAGGCTTATGAGGAGGAGATAGAGACCTTTTACTGGGATCTGGAATAATGGTACAATGTGCAGTGGTTTTAAATTTAAAGAGGGCAGATTTAGATTGGATTAAAGGAAGAAATTCTCTACAATTCTCTACAATCAGAATGGCAAGACACTGGGAGAGGTTGTTCAAGGAAGCTGTGGATGTCTCATCATTGGAAATGTTCAAGGTCAGGTGGGACATTTCTTAGAAGAAGCGGGTCTAGGGGAAGGCATCCCTGCCCACAGCAGGGGGGATTGGAACTAAATGATCTTTAAAGGTCCCTCCCAGCCCAAACCATCACATCAAACAATTCTATGGATAAAGGGACCTGTGCCTTTTTTATAACAACTGTACCTTGTGAAACAGTACCTTATGAATTAGAATCAGTTGCAAACTGCAAAAAGCAGGCAACAACAGTGATTACACTACAGTGAAGAGAATACCTCCTTTTTTTAAGGCTAAACGGACATTTAAAAATAGCCTTTTTTAAAAATATCACCTTACAAGTTTTGTTTTCTTCATCAAGGGGATATTGAAAAGATTAAAAGAAACAAATGTGAAGGAAAAAAAAAAAAGTGGTTTTAGTTATCTTTCCATTCTTTACACAATAAGAAATCAGAGTATTAAGGTTTTTCTTTATCTTAAGTCATAACTACTTGGGATAGCCATAACTATTCAAATCCCAATCCTCCCTTCAAAAATTGACAACTTTGGCCACAAAATGTATTTCGTTACATGCAACAGTAACATCATTCCCCTGAGAAAGCTGCTTTCTCTCCAGCACAGCCCCCAGGTACTGGGCAGACCTGCAAGGCTCCACGGTGTGGGAGCAAACATGAATTCCTTTCCTGAAAACAGCCTAACATAGACTAAGCAAATAATGATAAAGCTAATGACACTGCAAAACAAACCAGCGTGCAACATCATTACTCCACTGTTGAAAGTGTTTCTTCTACAGGCAGACTCCTCGGAGACCTCCGCATATTAAATACTTTCATGAGTGCATGACAAGGGATGGGGACTACACTTTGCTGGCAAATCATTCAGTCCTTCTGGAACAAAAGGAATGCAGGAATGCGAGTGTAGGAAAAACACCGCCTAAACTAGCGCAGTTTATGACAGCAGCAGCTAAGAGGCAAGATTTCAGGAAGGCAGGCGATCCGTGTCCCAAGGCAGTGGAAATGAGAGGCACGGGCTGGGGGGTGGATGCCATCTAACCAGCCGTCAGGGCAGGCCCGGCCCAGCGCGGGGCTGCTGCCCGCCCTCCCTCCTTCCCACACCGAAACGTGCTCGGCTTTTTCAGATAAACCTATGGGCAAACTGCCTCCTGTGTTCTTATTCCACAGCCAGAGTCATCCACACGCTACGGAAAGACTGCAGAAGGAGAAAAGCGTTCAGAGTTAATCGCTGAATACTAGGAAGCCGCGTCAGGGGCGGACACACACGCGGTACCTGCCCGAGCGCATCTCTGAGCGAGCGAGGCGCCGAAGGCCCGCACCCTTCCCCGCGCTGCTACTGACATGAAATACTCAGTCGGCATTTCGGGACCCGCGACACGCCCTCCCCCCGCTCTCCACCTCCAAGGGACCGGGAGGGACCGGGACGGACCGGGACAGGCC